GACCCTTGGACCATCAAAGTCACTATTGTCTACTCAGACTGGCAGCAGCTCTCCAAAGTCTCAGGCAGAGCTCTTTCCCATCACCTATTGCCAGATCTTTTAACTGGAGATACCAGGGATTGAACGTGGGACTTTCTGCATCCCAAGCGGATGTTCTGCCACTGAGCCATTGTCCCTCCCAAGTACAGCTACTTCTTCGTGCATTCTGCCAACAGAAGCGCAACTGGGGTCAGAAAATCTCCCCAGCACTGGTCACCCAGAGTTCTGGGTTTTATAGTAACCAGGTCATTCACAACATAGTGGAATTCCAGTTCTAATGTTCACCTAGACACAGTTGCATTATCTTGTTTGCCACCAATACAACCAATGTTGCATTGATCTGACAGTATAGGAATAAATAAATAAACAAACAAACCATATGAGGTGGGTGACAACGCACGAGAAAGCTCTCCTGTGTCAGCTCCCTTGAAATGAATGTCATTCCAGTAGGACTGGCACGGAAGAACTCTTGGGGGACTGTGCCACTGACTCACTTCACATGTTACAGTTCTCTGACCAATCAGCACATTCATGCCTTCAGCAAGAAGTCATGCAATGGTAAGCCTTGGTTTTAATATCTGGAAATTCCTTCCTCATAGGAATGCTTTTAACAATAGGACAATTTGGAGGTCATTATTTCATAGGGTCACCATAAATCAGAAGCGAATTGACAGCACTTCACACACACACAGAGGAATGCTAGCCTATCCAGACTGAGAGTTGGAAGGTTTGGAAAGCTAGTGGGAATAGTTAACTCTGCAGGACTGAAATGAAATGTCAAATTATAATTCTGCAAGGGACATTTGAGTCACCTACTTATCAGGTTTCCCCCTTGTTCGATTATACTCTACACCAAAATAAATCCCAAGATTTTGCTTTTTGCATTTGCGCCCTGGTATACTACAAGTGTGGTGCGGTGGCTCAAGTGGTTAAGACGCTGAACTGCAGGCTGTGGAAGGTCAGTAGTTCAGCAGTTCAAGACCCAAGTGTGCCGCATGACGGAGTGAGCTCCTGTCTCTAGTTCCAGCTCCTCCCAACCTAGCAGTTCAAAAGCAAGAAATTGCATGTAGATAAATAGGTACCACTTCAGTGGGAAGGTAACAGCGTTCCGTGCGCCTTGGTGTTTAGTCATGCCGGCCACATGACCACGGAAACGTCTTCAGACAGCGCTGGCTCTTCGGCTTAGAAACGGAGATGAGCACCGCAATCCTAGAGTCGGATTTGACTGGCTTTCGAGCAAGGGAACCTTTACATTATACTACAAGTAAGGAAGAATACCTTCCAAGACTCCCATTGGCATTATTAACAGTGCTGTCCTAACCAGAATGACACCTTTCTAACCCTATTGACTGCAATGGGTTTAGAAAGATATAACTTGGCTTAGAATTAGGGTTGCCAGGTTCCTACCTTTTGCCGGGGGGGGGGGGAGCTCCTCTCCTGGGATCTTCTGGCACACACAGGGCAATGACATCACCCAGAAGTGACATCATTGTGCTAGGCATGGTGCCAGGGGAACGCTCTAGCATTTGGCGGAATGGTAGAGCGTGTGCCCGGTGCAATGACGTTACCTCTGTGTGACGTCATCACACCAGGCATGTTGGCCTGATCCAGGAACTTTGGGGGTGGGGTTCCCCCCAACGGCCGGATCCGGGCCAGTGGATCAGGGGGGCCCTAAAGCAGGCAATACTCCCCGGAAGGATCTGGCAACCCTACTTAGAATGGTACTGTTAGGGAGCAAGCCTAAACAGGTCTAATCAGGCCCACTATATTCAATGGAGCTTACTCCCATGAAAATGTTCTCAGGATTTCAACCCAGGAGTCCCAGTTTGCATGGTCAAGGCTAGGGTCAAATGCAGTAAGACACCAAACACTGTTGCTGTTCCCACTAATAGTAGCGATATGTCAATAATAGCCATGTTTTGTTTCCCTAAAAACCTGTCAGACTCATAAAGCCGTGGGTATGCATGCATTCACACTTTTCCGTAACAAATAAAGTGCAAATACAAACTCTCATGCACAACTGTCCTACATATATTTTTTATTCATGGCTACTTCATTAAAGGGCATCGGGATGTTTTTGGCACCTCCAAACAACAAGGTGCAAATTAAACAGAAAATGACAGCTCAGTCTTAAACATGACCTTTTCTACACTGGTTATTTGTCCCAAGTTTGATGCTGTTGGAAAGCAGCCCCCCCCCCCCGCTTGATTTGATAGTCAAATCCTGCTTGATTCGATGTGGGGAAAGGCTGCATATCAGTGGTAGAGCATCCGCCTGGCATGCAGAAGGTCCCAGGTTTAATTCCCAGCAGCTCCAATTAAAAGGGTCAGGTAGCAGATTATGTAAAAAGACCACTACTGGAGACCTCGGAGAGCCACTGCCAATTTGAGTAGACAATACTGACCTTGATGGACCAATGGTGTACTTCAATATACAGCAGCTTTATGTATTGTCCGCAGCATTCATGTGCCCCTTAGGGCAGAGGTGTCGACTCACTTGTTACGAGGGCCAGTTCTGACATAAATGTCTCTTTGTTGGCCCGGGCTATATGTGCCATAAAATGTAATGCCAGGTAAAGGTAAAAGTTCCCTTGCTCGAAAGCTCGGTGCTCATCTCCGTTTCAAAGCCGAAGAGCCAGCGCTGTCCGAAGACGTTTCCGTGGTCATGTGGCCGGCATGACTAAACACCAAGGCGCACGGAACACTGTTACCTTCCCACCGAAGTGGTACCTATTTATCTACTTGCAATTTCTTACTTTCGAACTGCTAGTTTGGCAGGAGCTGGAACTAGAGATGGGAGCTCACTCCATCATGCGGCACCCGGGTCTTGAACTGCTGAACTACCGTCCTTCCACAGCCTGCAGTTCAGCGTCTTAACCACTTGAGCCACCGCAGCTCCATGCCAGGTACCAGAGACATAAACTTTATAAAGGACACTCAAAATACAAACATGCTTAAAACAGTAACACTCTTATAGTATTTTCTTACAGTATCTCCCTGATGCCCACCCTCCCATTTCCACCGCCCGTTACGCATTAGCACTGGGACCGTATACAGGGACATAATGCACAGCCTCTGCCATCTGGCCGTATGTTTAACACCCCTACCTTAGGGTTTCCCTGCCTTTTCTCCGATCTTTGCCAAACCTGACTTGCTGACGAGTTTTGGGGGAGATTGCAGCAAAGCCTTGATGGCTGCCATGTGGGTGGAGAAGTTTGGATTCCCCTGGTCCTGCCCACACAGCAGCCAGAAGCAGCAGTCCCAAAAGTGGCCATTCCCTTCTGCCAGCAGAAGGTTTTTGTTTTTTTAATCAGCACTTAACTATCATTATAACAATCTGTGGTTCTGGTTTTCTGAATTCCCAGCTCTCTGGGGGTTTTTAAGTCTTCAGACCCTTTCATTGCAGAGATATGCCTTTCCCTTTATATCTCCATAAGGAAAGATACTAGAGATTTACTGTTTAAAATGAAATCTGGGGATTCAGAGAACCTGACATGCAGATATAACAATATTCAATTGCTGATTTTTAAAAATCTGAAATGACCTGGTGGTTTGGTGGGGGAGACAGACACTGCCAGGGAACCAGGGCAGGAAAACCTGCCATGTGGAAGCCCTGTTGCAACTCTGTTGTATTTAGAGTTGCCAGGCAACTAGCACAACATTGCCTGGCAACTGGCAGGAGATGGAGGAGGCTGATATTTACTGTAGTGGCAGCAATCTTCGGCAGCGTGCAATGATGTCATTTCCGGTGCAACCTGGAAGCCCTATCATCGCACTAGGGTGATACTCAAGCATTTGCCCCCAAACTCTATGGTTTCCATAGAGTTTCTAGGCAAGTGCTAGAGTGTCCTCCTGGTGCTATGCCAGCACTTCCAAGTCACACCAGAAGTGATGTCATTGCACGGTTTGGCTGGTCTGCTTATGGCCATTGACCAGCTGAGCATCAACAGGCAGGGGCAGTAATTACTGGGAGTTTGCCCACCATTAGGGGGCACCTGGAGCATAGCTGTATTAGTAGACACAGCAGCAGCAGAAAAATCTAAGTCAGTCCTAGTTTTGACTTCCTAAATTTGCATCCATAAGAAATGACAGGGTTGCCATTTGCTCGGTGGGGGCAGGGGATCCCCTGATTTTGCAGGCTCCAGCCTGCAGCCATCCAGCTGGCCAGTGGGAGGGAACACCCCCCCAAAAAAACCAGCGACATTGCACATGATGCGCCTGCATCACCTGAAAGTGATGTTGGCATGTCAGTGATGTCAGGGTATGATGCTCAGGCTTTTGGGCAAAACTTTATGGTTTTATGGAGCTGCGGTGGCTCAAGTGGTTAAGACGATGAACTGCAGGCTGTGGAAGGTCAGTAGTTCAGCAGTTCGAGACCTGAGTGTGCCGCATGATGGAGTGAGCTCCCGTCTCTAGTTCCAGCTCCTGCCAACCTAGCAGTTCGAAAGCAAGAAATTGCAAGTTGTTAATAGGTACCACTTCAGTGGGAAGGTAACAACGTTCCGTGCGCCTTGGTGTTTAGTCATGCCGGCCATATGACCACAGAAACGTCTTCGGACAGCGCTGGCTCTTTGGCTTTGAAATAGAGATGAGCACTGCAACCCTAGAGTCGGATTCGACTGGCTTTCGAGCAAGGGAACCTTTACCTTTTTTACTATGGTTTTATACCGATTTTACCGATCTATGGTTTTATTTTGCTGATCTATGGTTTTATGCCAATTTTACCATAGAGTTTTGCTCAAAATCCAGAGCGTCGCCCCAACGTTGCTGACGTCCCTTCCGGGTGATGTAGGCACATTGTGTGTGACGTCACTGTTTCAGGGGGAATGGGAGGGCAACGTCACTTCCCACTCCCGGAACGGTACCCACATCCCCCCACCGGCAGGCAGAAGGGACCTGGCAACCCTAAGAAAAGCAGGGAGTGTTTTTGTTAGCTTCATTCATCCATAATCAAAGACTCACCTTGATAACTTGCTCTAGGAGGACGGGGTTGGTGTTCCCGTTCTGGGCAAGGAGCGCCATCCCAGCTCCTTCACAATAATGCAAGGCCTGGGCAGTGAGGCCATAGTCCACAAGGCGAGTGGCATAAATGAGTTTGTATACCTGTGAAAGAGAATTGGGGGGAGGATGTACAGACTGTGAAGGGCAAGTGAGGAAGAAACTTCTCAAATGACAGTCCTGAACAGAAGGTTGCGGCTAGCCCTTTCTCACGAGAGTACATTCAGACATCCCAGAAAGCTGCTCTAAAAATATTCTTCAACAAGAGAGCTTGTCCCCAATTTAAAAGTGCTTTCTTTCCAAAATAGTCTTAAATTGGACAAGTCTTTGCACTGCCTCCACCATGGCTAAGGCCCCATCTTGTTGCAGGTGACATAATCGGTTCTCTTAAGGACCCGGCAAAATTTTATTGCAGCAAAGATGTCCAAGGGCAAGAACAACTTTGCTAGATGTAGTGTAATCCTGGAGTAAATTTGCATGGGGTTAACCTATGGCAGCCTAAAACACCCGCCTGGGTCAAGAAAGTTGTCACAAACATCATAGATATGAATAAGGATCAAGCAGCTGGAATCACCACCCTTCATCTCCAGCGGAAGCAACTAAGACAAAACTGGAGAGGGCCTCTTCCCGAAAGTATTTCTGGAGACATTCCACTCCCCTGCATTGAATTCTTGGAGTTGGATGCGTGGCTGCATGTGCACATCTTTGCATATTGAACATAAGAACATAAGAACATAAGAGACGCCAATGTTGGATCAGGCCAAAGGCCCATCTAGTCCAACAATCTGTCACACAGTGGCCAAAAATACCAGGTACCATCAGGAGGTCCACCAGTGGGGCCAGGACATTAGAAGCCCTCCCACTGTTGGCCCCCCCAAGCACCAAGAAGACAGAGCATCACTTGCCCCAGAGCCCCTATCTATACCTTGTGGCTAATAGCCACTGATGGACCTCTGCTCCATATGCCTATCTAATTCCCTTTTGAAGCCGTCCATGCTTGTAGCCGCCACCACTTCCATTGCCATTGCGCAATAGCATTGTGCAATAGCAATAATTCACTTCCTGGATTGTCTTGTCCACACAGGAAAATCCAGTTGTGCATGGCCACCATAGTGCAAAATTCAGCACTGTGTGGCATTCCCCCCATCTTTAAACCTGCTGGCTGCAGTTGGAAGGCAGCTTCTGTTACCTGGAAAGGGGGGATGAAAGCTTTGGGGCTCCCCAGCAGCTGGCAGTATTCAAAGATCTCAGTCCTGTGGATATCCTCCAACCTTACAAACTGGGCAAGGGCCTGGCTGAAAGAGGGAAGCAGAGAGGGTCAGGATAGGGACAGAAAACAAAAAAATCTCACTCTCCATCAAAGGGGTGTTCCAAGCCCACCCCACCCCTTGCAGCTTCTTCAGCTGCAGCGCAGAGATTAAAATGAGGGCTGCTGGACACTGGACGAGATTCTGAGTCCTTTCATCACTGGCTTCTTGAATTGCTTAACTGATTAAACGCATATCACTGTGCATCTTATCAAAAACATCATACAGCTTTTGAGACAGTAAAAAAAAGCCAAATGATTTACAAATGTAATGAAGTGTGACGGTTTAAAAGGCATAGGTTCTCTATGTCTAGTGCTAAGTAGATCAACTGTTTTTGAAAAATTAATAAATTCCAAGAATATCGAATGTATACATGTACATATCTCCCTTATAAATAAAAGCCGAATGGTGGTGGCACTTCTCTAGTCATACAGCTTTTGAGACAGTAAAAAAAGCCAAATGATTTACAAATGTAATGAAGTGTGATGGTTTAAAAGGCATAGGTTCTCGATGTCTAGTGCTGAGTACCCGTCATTGGTCAATTGTTTTTAAAAAATTAATAAATTCCAAAAATATTGAATGTATACATGTACATATCTCCCTTATAAATAAAAGCCGAATGGTGGTGGCACGTGTCTAGAACATTCCACACGCTCCAAAATCAGTTCGCTCTCTGATCTGTCATTCAGAGGGTCTCCCTATCCACTGGCTGCTTTGCCTGAGTCCTGCCTCCAACATTCTAAACATTTTGCTGTTCCTCTCCCCCCCATAGCCAGTCAGAACACAGAGGTTATTTGCATATGCAGCCTCATTGGCCTTTGCCTCGGAACACAGAGGTCATTTGCATATGCGACTTGATTGGCTTTTGCCTCTACCATTCTAAACAGTTTGCTATTCTGAGGTAAAATGTTTCAAATCTCCAGGTGAGCGCTGGAGATCACTCAGAATTACAACTGCTTTCCAGATGGCAGAGATCAGTTCCCCCGGAGAAAATGGTGGGCTCTGTATCCTTATATGCTGCTGAGATGGCCCCTGTATGACAGCCAATGTGACATAGCAGTCAGAGCTTCAGAGCATGGGAGAGGCTGCAGGTGTGTGGGGGGTGGAAAGCTGAAGAGTGAGGGGGAAATAAAGGTAGGTTGATGATTGGCTGGGAAGGAGATAGGGTTGCCAACTCCAGGTGGGAAATTCCTGGAGATGTGAGGAATAGAGCCTGGAGAGGGTGAGGTTTCAGGAGGCGTGGGACCTCGGACAGGTACAAAGCCATAGACTCCACCCTCCAAACCAACCATTCCCTTCTGGGGAACCATCATTGCCAATCTCCAGGTGAGGGATGGAGATCACTCAAAATTACAACTAGGTAGCAGAGATCAGTTCCTCTAGAGAAAATGGTGGACTCAGTGTCATTATACCCTGCTGAGGTCGCCACAACAAATTGACACTGAGTGTCCAAGGCCAGGGCACCTGCCCAGAGCCTCTTTCTAGAGGTCGTATTTATTTCCACAACGGGCCTTTTTCCTAGTACAATATAAATATAACATTCAAAAGTGTTACATTAAACATTTAAAAACTACAAACCAGCGTTTTTCCTCTGCATACTTTACCATTCACCCAAGCTCTTATATGAGTATCTATAGTTCTTGGATGGTAAAAACATAAGGTATCCTATTCATTTAATATTCCTAGAGTTTTGCATACATCTTTACTGAATAATTATAAGCACTAGATAGCTAATTCACAAATATAGAAAAAAGTTTTCAAGTATTCAGATAGACTTCACCTTGCTGTTCTAAATAGTCTAAAATAGGATTCCAAATACTTTCAAACTCCTGAGTTGTGTATACCTAAACATCTGTAGTAAATTGTTAGGCTGGGTCCCTCCCCCGGCTCCTTCTTGCCGCCACCACCACTAGTGAGACGAATCCTTGAGATCCAACCCATTGTCTGTTTCCCTCCCCCTGTTTTTGACCCTGTTTTGCTTTGGGGGGGGGAGATCTGGGGGATGGTTTTGCAAACTTTGGTTTGCACACACAGCTGCGCACTAGTTTGCAATCATTTCCTCTTCATAACTGCCTATCCAGAGACTAGATATTACTGGACATTTTGGAGCCACAGGTATTATATAATAAGTTCAATCAGATCCATTGGAAGAATAAATATTCAGGTAAACTGTTTTAACCCCTTTGCTCTCAAGGAAAGCATTGTGGCTCATTTGTTTATGTATTCAATCATTTATATTTGCATTGCGGGAAGCCATTGGAGGGAGGAGAGGAAGGGAATGGGGTAAACAATGGACTGAATGATTTAATTTTATATGTTATGTTCCTAAGAAAATAATAAAAATTTGTTTACCAAAAAAAGACTTACGTTAAATTCAACAATTCCAACAGTCACAACCATCATAATACTCATTCGTCATTAGATGGCACAGTAAAGGGCAGTTCGGGAGATGGTCCAAGGTGGGAAGCCGTCCCTCATCCTTGACCATGTGCCTGGTGGAACAGCTCTGTCTTGCAGGCCCTGTGAAACTATTTCAAGTCTCGCAGGGCCCGTATCTCATTGGGCAGAGCGTTCCACCAGGTTGGGGCCAGGGCTGAAAAGGCCCCGGGCATGGTTGTGGATAGCCGGATGGCCTTTGGGCCATGGATCACCAGCAAGTTGTTATCAGCTAAGCGAAGCACCCTTTGGGGGACATACCAGGAGACATCCCCAGTGGGGACCCCCCAGCAGATTACATCACTCTCCTGTCCTCCATTTTACCCTCACAACTGCCCTATGAGGTAGGCTAGGCTGACAGCATGTGACTGGCCCAAGGTCACCCAGTGAGTTTCCATAGCAGTGTGGGGGCTCCAGGTCCTAGTCCAACCCTTTAACCACTACACCATGTTGGCTTGCAAACATTTATATCCCACCTATCCCCTTGGGTTCAAGGCTGCTTACAGTCATAGTTAAAATATCCCCAGCAAAAATCTAAGATAAAACTGCAAACCGCAAACCTCTCCCCACTCCCCCTCTTAAAAGATGGCTGCCATTCAAACCCCCTCAAAAGCCCTGGCAAACAGGCAGGCCTTGCAGCACTGCCTGAAGATCTCCAAGGAGGGGACCTCCCCTCACCTCTTCAGGGAGCCCATTCCACAGAGCAGGAGCCACGACTGAAAAGGCCCGAGCTCTGGTCGATGCCAGACGGGCCACCTTAAGTGGTGGGCTAGCCAACATACGGCTGCTTGATGACTGTAGTTGGCGCACAGGGACATAGGAAAGCAGACGGTCCTTCATTAACACACCCGCTTCAGAAGCCCGGGCAGAACAGACGATTGCAGAATCATTGAATGCAGCCTAGAGAAGTCAGAGAAGAGTCTTCAAGGGGTGTGTAACTAGGAACCGGGGGGGGGGGGGTGTCACTCAGGCAGTGATCCTTGGCGTGAAAATAAGAGTGTAGCCAACAGGCAAAGAGAGTCCTTATTTTCATCAATGAAATGTTGGAAGGCGTAGAAAAGCTACCACATATCGTTAAAAGGAAAGGCAATTTATGCACTGACCTGGATAGCCCAGGCTGGCCTGATCTTGTCAGATCTCAGAAGCTAAGCAGGGCTGACCCTGGCAAGTAATTGGTATTGGGTGTTGTAAATAAGAAGCGGGAGACTGACCAGTTATGAAGGTGCACAGAGAGTTTATATAGTTATAAAGGTGAATGTATACAGAGATATTTACAGGCTATTGTACAGCATGTCGTGCCTTAGTCTATGAGAACTAAGTCCCCCTCAGCTTACCAAGCTGATAGCTATTATGCTAAACCCCAGCCAATCTCTAACAGAGTGATGCAATCACTAACTCTAACAAGCCCTGAAGAGTAACACCTGCTAGAAAACACCTGGCTGTAATGACATGATTACAAGCATGACAGCTAGTTCTGACAAATAGATCAAACTGATCTATAGTAACTGCTTGCTACCTCTATCACTCCGACATATATCTCAATAATTGGATGGGAGACCTCCAAAGAATGCCAGGGTTACTACACAGAGGAAGACAATGGCCAACCACCTCCGAATGTCTCCTGCCTTGAAAACCCTATGGGGTCGCCATAAGGCAGCTGTGACTTGAGAGCACTTCCCACCACCACTACCACCACTACCACTATTCATACAGTAACACACCACCAAACCAAATCGCCTCCATAAAGTTTTGGACTTCTATAGATCCACAGGTAGAAATTGTTATGATTTGTAGGGCAGTCGTGAAAGTAAGCTGGCACAAACTGGTAAAGAATAGAGCTAAGGAAGGGGCCCAAGTGGAGTTCCCGGTCCTTCTCCTGCTTTGAGCTTTCCTCTCCAAGAGAAATTTAACTTTCTTTCACTGTTGTTGCAAAGAGCATTTATTTATTTTTTTAAAAAGGCATTCAAAAATGGTCTTGCCGCCAACTTTCCCGCAGTCTGATTTATACATCCCGACCCTGCTTAACTTCTGAGATCTGACATGATCAGGATAGTCCACTTACCGCCTTGATATTCTACTAGATCATTCCGCTGCAGTGTCGCCCAGGATTCCTCAAAGCGGAGTATCCACGGACTCTTGCTCTCCCCCTCACCCCGAGCTTTCTTTCTGCACTATGAGGCCAGCACAGAATCCATTAAGACTCTATTCAGCACGTCTCAAACTACACCTACCTCACCAATGGTCTCCATGGCTTCATCTCAACTGCATTAGAGCTACTAACTGAACGACATTAACACACCTTCAAAATATACACCAAGGTTGTTTCTCTGTCAGGAGGGGTGCAGCTGTTACTTTACTTAACCACATGAGGGGACAGTAAACAATTTGAGGTCACCAAAATGCAGAAATGGGGGGAAGGGAAGAAATTGCATGATGGCTCCGCTTGGATGTGTTATGGTTACCTCAGCGGTGGGTGCAGAAAACAAAGGTCAGGTGCCATGCCTAGTAGAAAAATCTGTCTCAAGGCCAAACTAGACTTTACTTCTGCCATA